ATATGTATATATATGTGTTATACCTATATTGCCCAAAAGCAGTCAGTCTTTCTAGTGTTAAGGACACCTTGTACATTAAAAATTAATTCTTGTCCATATCCTGAATCAGAAATTGCATTTGATTTCAGATGGGAACCAACAACTTATTCAGAACGAAGTGAAGAACGAGGAAAAGGACAGCATCGTTCAAAGCGAGAAACGAAGCGATCGTTCAAAAGAAGAATACGAAAAACTGAGAAAACTCGATGGGAAGAGTTTAAATTCAGATTCTATTATTCGCGGATATCGTCGCGAGCCTACGATTCACACGACCGCTTATACGGTCGTTCCTTCCCGCGAGGAACGTTGCGTCGAGAGGATCGTTATCAACGAGGAAACGTTAAACAAGATCGTCGTGCCTACAGCGTGTTGCATGGAAAAAGGGAAAACTCCGAAGGAATCTGAAACTCGTACGGAAATCTCCGTCGCCGCTGCTCCGGTGAGACAAGAAACACCGAAGAAGAAAAATTCACCGACGCGAAACGTCTTCGTCAGGACGAAACGTATAATATTCTCTCCTTTTCGACGGTCAGAAGAGGAGCACTCCAGGAAAGAGTGTAACACGTCGGAGAACGACGTGTTAAGAAGAAACAAGAGTAAATCGAGATCAGGTTCTCCGAAAATAAACAGACAGGACGCACTGTTAAGGATGTCGCTTTCCTTGCCATGGCCATTGCTTCGTCCTTCCTCTAAGGAGACGAAAGAAGCGAAGGAGGCACGGTCGGAGAATCGATCATTCGAACGATGTAAATCCGTGGAAAACTCGAGAAAATTATCGAACGGCGAGGTCGCCTTTGAAACAAATAACGACGTTCGACGTTCCACTGAAATTAAATCGTTCGTCCGAGAGAAACGTGGAAACGCATCGGTGGAAACAGCGGATAACGATCAACGGAAACGATGTTCAAATCTCGGTTCGAGTTTACCGAGTCTGAAAATCGAGGAGAAAAAGATCTATCCAAAATTCGACCCGCAATCATCGGAGCTGATTCACAAACTGGCAATTTTGTCGAACGCTGTGGCGAAAAGGGACGGTCGGACCAGCACTTCGGAAGACACCTCGCCGGTGGAGTCGCATTCGTTAAGGGTGCGTCGCGCGAAACAAGATTTCTTATCTCGCCGAGGCGGTCCCCTTTGTCATTCCGCGTCGGAGCCTAACGACGAGAGTTCCAGAGTGAAAACGTGTAATCATTATTACGAACCGATTTTAGAAAAAGAGAAATCGGAAAGCAAAATAACAGCGGACGCGAGTTACGCTTCTAATTCGGGTGAGACCGAAACATCAAACGGCAGCGACGATGCGCGGCAGGTAGAGGTGAAAAACGAGCGGAATTCGACGGTGGCTACGTCTCGACCCGATCGCGTGAAATCGGCCAGCGCTGGAATGATAAACTTGGACCCGGACGCGTTCGTGCATCTCACCGAGGCTAACCGCGGTCGCGGTTGCGAGTCTCTCCCAAGATCGATCTCTAAACAGCAACAGCCGTTGGGCTCGCTTGCAAAAATCGTTAATAAATTTAAGTTCGCGCGGCTGATACGTGGAAAGGACGAAGAGGGGAACATGAGCACTATTTCCAAATTGTGTAGACAGAGTTTGTTAATCGACGTTCGTAACGATTTCGAGAGGTGCTGGGAGAGTAACGAGAGGGAGGAGGCCAGTTCCAAGTCGGAGAAAATTAAGAAAACTAAATATTAAGCGAACACAAGGAAGTAATGTCGTTTCTGCGCTATATCAATATTTGTTTATCACTTATCAGCTTATTCTGTACCTCAAAGTCGTGTCATAGATATTTTAAGCTTGAAGTGACTTGTTTATTTGTAAATAATTATATCTTTTCTTCTTGCAATTAATTATTTAATAAAATTCTTTTGCAAAAAATTAATCAAT